AGATTACGACTTTCCATCATAACTTTGGGATATCCCTCTGGAAGCATGTCGCTAATGAGCACTATATAGTAATGTATTTTGAGATGAAAGGGGATTTTAATTTTGAGGTAGTATTCATCAGGGAGTGACATCAGTTGGAGAATCATTTGAAACCTGGAAGCGCTAAACAGCTGTTACATCCTAGTGTGGGACACACCCACTACCCCGTTAAGACTTTTAGGCTTTATGACGAATGCATAAAACCTTCAGCTACTGGGTCAGGTTGAGTTCAATGATTTATAGTTTTCCACTTCTCTTGATTACCTACGCAGTGCGACTAACTTAAAAACAAAATCTCTATTAACCACGAAATACGATAATTTATTCGACATAGAAATATCGGATATTATTATTCGAACAATCTGACTTTTCAATGGGAGGAAAAGGATGAAATAATTCAGTTTCGATGAAATTAAACTCCTCCTGAATGACTGATATACTAAAGTTATTGACAGTCAACTTAATTATTTCCAATTTATAAGATGCTTCTCAAGGGAGTACACTTCTTACTGTTACTTTATTTCAAGTTGTTATTCATCGTAGACTGACATCATTTGGAGGAACAAAGGAAACCTGGGAGCACTGGACAGCTGTTTCGTCCGACTAGTATGGGACTCCTCAGCAGTGCGCACCAACGACCCCACCAGCAGGGACCGAACCCGCGACCTTCAGGTTCCGCGGCCAAATCTCCAAATCTCCACAACTCCCTCAAAATTTAATTGAACTGGTGCTCATTGGTGACTAGCTTCGAGAAGTATTCCCGAAGTTCCAATGACAAGTCGTGACCGGTGGAGTCAAAGCCTGATGGTGGTGAGGACAGGTACTCAACGATGACATTGGGTGGCGGTTTGCGCTATATCGTGAGCTAAGAGAAGTTGGAAATATGGAGCATTGGATTCTGATCCAGTGGCTCAATGGTAAGGCGCTGGCCGTGGAACCTGAAGGTCGCGGGTTCGATCGGTGGTGGTGTGGGGTGGTGGGTGCGCACTGCTGAGGAGTCCCATACTAGTCGACGAAACAGCTGTCCAGTGCTCCCAGGTTTCCTTTGTTCCTCCAAATGATGTCAATCTACGATGAATAACAACTTGAAATAATTCTAAATCTCCACAACTCCCTCAAAATTTAATTGTTACTTTATTGTCTAAAACTATTTCAGACAATATTTTAGTCACAACAACAAGATCCTAAAATTAAATGGGTCAAGGTCAAATGTCTGTTTTCTCAAGAAGTTGTAGCATGATGTCAGATTATACATTTTAACGGTGTTGTGTTTTATTTTAGAAACCTGTGACGATTATGGGGCACTGAACACCCTTTGCTGGCTAGTGTGAGATTTTTAAGTAAAGCTTAACCACAATAGGATTGACTACTAACTGTTCACTGCAAAGTCGATCAGGGCGAAGGCGAAGATAGATTTCTGCTTATGACGTTCCATTGCTTGATAATAGTAACTTAGGACCATGAGAATCTACCTGGTTGATCAAATCCTTATATGCTTATGACGAGGATTTATCTAGGCTTGGATTCCATATGAAATGTTAGGTGAGCACTGTTAAAACCCGTTAGATGGTTGAAGGAAGTCGTCTGGAAGTCCTTTTTGACTAAGGTTTCGTGTTTTTTGGCACTTATCAGTAAGATATGCTTATAACTTTAAGGAAGAGTTGATATTTGGCCAGGGATTCAAACCCGCCTAATGCAGTGGTGCAGAAACAGACGTTGCTTTTCGCGCAGAATAATGTTGCAGTAATATTGCTGATTGTATTACTGAGTGGCGCCTATCTGAATCTCGCAGGCGGCAATGAGTTACCTCAAGGTTGCTTCCAACACGCATGAAACTCAGGTCGACAAGAACTTCTAGCCGACTGACTCAAACTATCCGATATCTATGAAGGTACACCGTGGTGCTGAGTCCTCTGGCTTCATGGCCATATTACAAAATAATCGACAGAAACAAGGTTGCCTACTATCACCGATGATCTTCTTGATTGTAGTCGACTGGACTGGACTGGATCATACAAGAAACTATTATGAGGAGCGAGAAGACAGGGATGTACTGGCTGGACCGATGAAAAGAACCTAGATGATGACTTGGATTTCGTCGATGATAATTTATGTCCATAGTCCTCGTACATACTCGAAAATCTACGAAAAAAACTAACCAGATGACGGAAGAGGCGAGGCAGCAAAGACGGGACTTCTTTGAGATGAGCGTGGAGAAGACAGAGGTGTTGAAGATACCCAATCAACAACAACAAGCACCAGCAACGGGTAAAATCTAAAGAAAGTAGTCTCTTTCACCTAACTACCTAGGCAGCATCGTTTCATCTACAGGCGGCAGCGCAGGCACAAATGAAGACGTCTTCACCAAGATCGGAGAGACAGCGAGACAAGCCTTCATTAACTTGAAACCAGTGTAGAGATCTACTACAATTCACTGCACTGCACTCGGCATAAAGTGTGAACAAGATCCGGATTTTCAACACTAATATCAGTCAAGTCAGTACTTCTATGTGATAGTTGAGAGACTTGGCGCGTTATGGAAAACATTTCCAACAAACTACAGACACGCATCATCAACAGCTGACGTCTACGCTCACTCGATATTAAAGATGCAGGTCAGATGGTCAGAATAATAAGAATAAGCAAGGGGGAACTCTGGCTGCTTGGCAACGAACCAACCAACAAATATACAGAATAAGAAGGTGAAGATGGATTGGGCATGCACTGAGATGACCATTTGTGGACATCATGCGTCAGGCCAGGCTGTCGAATGGAATCCAAATGGGAAACGACGAGTTGGGCATTCGAGGCGAGGGTGACGTGGATGAGATCATGTGAGGAAGAAATGAAAGCTTGTGGGAAGTGGTGGAGCCAGGTTCAAAAGACTGCAGAGAAGAGAGGGGAATGGAGACGTGCTACTGAAGCCGTATGTTCCACTAGGAACATGATAGGAGAAGAATAACTTAACATTTTAACTGGAAACTAGACGGTTTTCCAATAAGCAACAAAAATATATTGAGTAGTACTGTGCATTCACTATTATTCCATTTCTTCAATTATATATATATTGCATAACTTTGCACCTCAACTTACTACTAATAATCAGATCAGTAGTATATTATGAAGATAAATATGGTCAAGAAAGAAAGACGAAATAGCTACCGAACCAAACTTACTAAAATTTAGCCATTTGGCTTTCTAAATGCTTCAAAGCTAGAATAATTCAAGCGAATAATTATTTCCAACAAAATATGCTTCAGACTTTACAATCCAAAATTTATGAAAACAGCATGTAATAACAACACTAATGTAAATAATGAAACAGTCAGTGCAAATGGATGAATGTTGATTAAGTCAAATGAATTCACACCTCCGTTATAAACTGGTAACTAATCAGTCTAGTTTACGTTTTAAAGTAGAATTGTAATACAGGTATATAAGAAGAGGAAATTCTGAAATACGAATACACTGAAGAAACAAATAAACAAGGAGCACGCAGTGATTACGAAAAGTTGAAAGTGACTAGCAGTAGTAGTATTGATAAACAAGTTCATAAAATTACTAGAGTATAAAGTAAATACTCATCAATAAACAGAAGGAGACATAGTGAAAACATGAGGTTAAAATGGGAAGATTAAGTTCCTGGTTGTATTGTGTTCCCTGGGCTCGGTAGTTTAATCGGAAAGCTTTCACTGTCTTGCTAGACCAGCTGTCAATATCCCTCCGTGAGTGATTTAGTGGCTTGCTCTGACGGTGTGGTCTCTGACTGGTTATTTCCTTCGATTCTTGTGTCATTGATGATTGTATAGACTTCCCTTTTGGCTGCTCCTCTACTTCACCTCTCACATTTCTGTCCTTCATCATCTTTCTCATCGGTTGATAGATTTAGTCTATGTCTTCTATACATCTCTTGATTGCTGATTGACTGACTGACTGGCTGACTGACCTGAATGACAAGCTTCTAGGAATTCTATGATATTCACTGTGTTTCCTCTCTACATCCAAAATTTCTACATTGACCACATTCAATTCATATCCATAGTTGTTATCCATATGCATTCAAATCAGTGATGAAATGTTGTGTGTGTGACGTTGAATAGCCAATTGGTTTTCATGTAAATGAAGAAGGCGAAGAGGGCGACCACTTTGTCAAATGTGTAGTGTTGACTACAGTTATTGCAGTTGATTTTGTAAATGATATTCAGTTTGTCTGTCTTCTTTGCTCGTTGCATCCCCTTTGGTCTGCATAATAGTGTTTGGAGGGAATTTGTTGGTTTATGAGTGGCCACACCAACTCCAAGTGGTTTATCTCAGTAATCTTGTTGTGATTTCTGATATATTCTTTATGTATGGTAGGATGATGTGTTTATTGATTTCAGTCGATGATGTACGGGATAGGCATCTTCTGATAATGTTTCGTGGGTAGGTGTTCTTCTGTAGGATGGACATCAAGTAATTTTTTTCGTTTCTCTGTGAAGTTGTTGTAATGCAGTGCAGTATGTTCTCGCTCTTTTCAATAGAGTCTGCACGCAACTGATTTTGTGTGTTGTTGAGTTGTTGGTATTGTAGTTGAGGATTTGGTCAGTGTGTGTTGGCTTCCTGTACACTTGGATTTCCAGCTTTCTGGGATTTGTTCTGCTGACTATAACATCCAGGAATGGTAGTTGATGTTTTGAAAATCTTACGTAACCTCATTTTCTAATCATTTGATCTTCACGTCATCAACTAGCAACGTTATAATTATCACCACCATCATTATTATTGTTTCAAACCCCATTATTTCAGTTATATCCTCCTCATGGATTACAGTCCTCAATATTATATATATTTATACGAATGTACAGCTTGAGAATAAAGTCGTTGAAAAGAGTCCTCTTCACTGAATATGTTGTTTTTGTAAGCAGTTGTCTCTTAGAGTGAATTTATTGTCAACGATAACTAAAAAAATTGTATTAAATTACCGGTTTATCAATGCTAGCTTGAATAAGCAATTCTCCAGAATAACAATTTGGACTAATAGTCTTCATAATTGATTCCTCTACAGGATATAAAGGACGACATGACAACTTTGGTCCAACAAAAAGCTTTCTTAGGACAATTGTGACTGTAGACCTAAAAGTGGAAGAATTAATGAAAAATTAACTATCAGCAAAATATTAATTGGATACATAATTTATTGTTGTTTTCGAGAATATTAGGAGCTTTTCTGAAAGAATTGTCTATGCTACGTACATAGTTCCTGTCGACTCAATGTCGAATATACAAAGTAGCCGATTGAAACTAATTATCTAAACCTTGAAGTACATGTTACAAATGGATTAACCTTTCATTATTTTATACCTACGTTCTTGTTTTCAATGAATATCCAGACAATATACAAGATTTTACAAATTATGAATAATATAAACAGGATTTTTCATGTTGAAGGTGTTTGATGTATGTTAGGCCACTTATTACCGGCTTGTTTTTATGCATGGTATCATCTGATTTACCACATAAAGTACTACTTTTTCACTTCATTCGAAGTAGTGTGATGAAATACGTCAACCGTGAACGCCATGTATCCTGTCACATTGATGTGTGGTCATTAGTGAATACAAATCGTCATTATTAGGATCTCTGAATGCCTTGCGTTTCAGTACAATGAAAGCTCCACTCACTTGAAGGGAGGAAAAAATGTAAAATGTTCGTATAATATTTCACATGTACAACATTTCAGATACAGAGTAAGTATCGGAAAGACTATTCAACATCGATTAAACCATATAGAAGTTTGCTCCGTTCAGCTATCACGCTGTGAATATCTGTCAGTTAAGGCTGTTGGTGCGAAATCATGATTATCAATGATTATAACATCTTATTCAAGTGAACGTAGAGAAAAGAGAAGTGATGGAGATACCCAACATACGCCACCACCACCACCACCAACAACAACAACAACGACAAGAGCTACTAATCACCATGAAAGGGAGAAACTTAAAGGAAGTAGTCTCTTTCACATACCCACCTACCTAAGCAAGGCAGCACCGTTTCAACTACAGACGGCACAGACGAAGATGTCAAAGCAGCCAGGATCGGAAAGACAGCAAGATAAGCGTTCATTCACCTGAAACCAGTGTGGAGATCTTCTGCACTCAGCATAAAGCGTGGACAACACTAATGTCAGTCAAGTCAGTGCTTCTATATGATGGTTGAGAGACTTGGCGCGTGACGGAAAGCATTTCCAACAAACTACAGATATTTATCAACAACTGATACCTACTCTGGCTCGTCACTGAAACTCAGATGGCCAGAATAGTAAGAGAAGAGTGAGCAACAAGGAACTCTGGCTGGCCGGTTGACAACCAACCACCGAAGCAAGAACCTATCGCTGAACAAATATGCAGTGGAAGGAAGTTGAGGTGGATTGGATTGGGCATACATTGAGAAGACCGACTGGTGACATCATGCGCCGGGTCAGGCACTCAAGGGGAATCCGGATGGGACACGACGAGTTGGGTTTGCGAGGCGAGGGTTATATGGAGAAGATAGTGTGTGAGGGAGAAATGAGAGTTTGTGGGCAGTCGTGGAGCCAGGTTAAAAGATTACAGAGAAGAGATTGGAATGGCTATGTGTTACTGAAGGCCCATGTTTCACTAGGAACCCAAGGGACAAATAATAATAATTACTAACTAATAACATATTGTGTGTGGGTGTTGAAATCATCGTCTGAGGTAGAATATTGTTGCATGTGCGGCTTAAGGTAAGAAAGGTCAACTGTTTGATGGGATTGGGCTTCAAACATATTCTACACACTCCTGGTGTCGGCTTATCACAGCATATATTCCTGTCTGGATCAAACGTAAACGGTTAAAACTTGGAAGTCTCCAACTACTAGTTTCAATCATGCTGCTTTATAAACTTTTCCTACTGGCCTGAACGATTTGAAGCCGTGTGTGACAGATTTGAAATGAATCACCATACAAAAGATTCGACTAAGCTTAACCTTAATTCATATGTTGAAAACTTAACTGTAATGCATATTTCATGGCTCATCCTATCAAGTTGCTATTCATCATACACTGACATCAGTTGGAGGAACAAAAGAAACCTGGGAGCGCTGGATAGCTGTTTCGTTCCAAATGAACTAGTGTTCATTGGTAACTAGCTTCAAGGGGTGATTCCCGAAGTCTCAGTAAGAAGTTGTAACCAGTAGCGCAAACTTGATGGCAGTGAGGACGAATACTCAATGATGACACTGAGTAACGGTCACATTATGTCATGAACTGACATAAGTTGCGAATATGAACCACTGGATCCCGACCCGGTGGCCTACTCGGGACTTACTGGCCATGGTTGCCAGTTCGATCCTTGACGGGGTCGTGGGTGCGCACTGCTGAAGAGTCCGGTATTAGGACGAAACAGATGTCTAGTGCTCCCAGGCTTCCGTTGTCCCTCCAACTGATGTCCGTCTACGATGAATAACAAATTGAAATATTTCCAAATCCCCACAACCCCCTAAAAATTCAATTGAACTGTTGCGCATTGGTAACTAGCTACAAGAGGCATTCCCAAAGTTCCAATGAGAAGTCGTGACCGGTGGAGGCTAAGACTGATGGTCATGAAGACAGTTACTCAACACTGACATTCGGTGGTGGTTGCGCTATATCGTAAGCTAATAGAAGTTGGAAATATGGACCACTGGATTCTGACCCAATGGCTCAATGTTAAATTGCTGGCCATGGAACCTGAAGGTCGTGGGTGCGCACTGCTGAGGAGTCCCATACTAATCAGACGAAATAGCTATCCAGCGCTCCCAGGTTCTCGTTGTTCCTTCAACTGATATCGGTCTATAATGAATACCAACCTGAAAGATCTCTAAATCTCTACAACCCCCCGCCCCCCAAATTCATGTTATCAAGTTTGTCGATAACAGACACATTTTGACGTCGTAGAACTCAAGATGAAGATTTGCTTTATGGCATTGACCTTAGAAAGAGGCAAACGTAGTTCACTTACACTCATTTCTCTTCTACTACAAATCCATCAGTACTCCCTTAAGTAAATGGCCCCGAAGAAAGCAGGCTACGAACAGAATCTCACACTAATTATATCAGTTATATACAACTACTTCCTGAAAAGTCATAGAATCGGAGGATTAAACTGTATTGAAGCATTCAATATGGATGGTGAATAGCCGAAGAATCGCTGAAAACAAAAGTTCACAGGATGACTATACAGTCATTGAAATCCCATCACCAGTTAGTCACATTCTTGGAATTTTAATGGTACACGACTTCCAAATACTGTTGGTTTTAATATTGTGCATCCATTAACCGATATCACTGATGAGTAACAATCCTTAAAGATGACCAGGTGACTTTGATACATGATGAAACAGTGAAATTAATCAATTTTCAAAAAGCCCTAAATTTGCTTTATTAACTTTTCGTATCTGATAGTCATGAGTTATTTGGCCACATAAATAAACTGTAGTGTGTGGTAGTGAATCGAAGTAAATTTAAATTATTATTTTTTTCCCTTGAGTTCCTGGTGGAACATAGGGCCGCAGTAGTACGTCTCTATTCCACTCTCTTCTCCGCAATCTTTAAACCTGGCTCCACGACTGCCCACAAACTCTCATTTCTCCCTCACACACTATCTTCTCCATATAACCCTCGCCTCGCAAACCCAACTCGTCGTGTCCCATCCGGATTCCCCTTGAGTGCCTGACCCGACGCGTGATGTCACCAGTCGGTCTTCTCAATGTATGCCCAATCCAATCCACCTCAACTTCCTTCCACTGCATATTTGTTCAGCGATAGGTTCTTGCTTCGGTGGTTGGTTGTCAACCGGCCAGCCAGAGTTCCTTGTTGCTCACTCTTCTCTTACTATTCTGGCCATCTGAGTTTCAGTGACGAGCCAGAGTAGGTATCAGTTGTTGATAAATATCTGTAGTTTGTTGGAAATGCTTTCCGTCACGCGCCAAGTCTCTCAACCATCATATAGAAGCACTGACTTGACTGACATTAGTGTTGTCCACGCTTTATGCTGAGTGCAGAAGATCTCCACACTGGTTTCAGGTGAATGAACGCTTATCTTGCTGTCTTTCCGATCCTGGCTGCTTTGACATCTTCGTCTGTGCCGTCTGTAGTTGAAACGGTGCTGCCTTGCTTAGGTAGGTGGGTATGTGAAAGAGACTACTTCCTTTAAGTTTCTCCCTTTCATGGGGATTGGTACCTCTTGTCGTTGTTGTTGTTGTTGTTGGTGGTGGTGGTGGCGTTGGTTGGGTATCTTCGTCAACTCTGTCTTCTGTACGTTTACTTCAAGTCCCATCTTCTCCGCCCTGCCTCTTCTTACAACTTGTTGGATTCTGCCTGTAGATCTTCAAGTTTATGTGACATTAGACACTAATCATCATCGGTGGTGAAATCCACATTTTCTAGGCTCTTTTTATCGGTCCAGCCACTGTATGCCCATCTTCTCGCTCCTCACTGTTTGTTGCATGATCAAGTCGACCACAATCAGGAAGATCATAGGTGATAGTAGACACCCTTGTTTTACTCCTGTCTTCACTTCAAAGGCATCACTGAGCTTCCCATTGTGAATTGCTTGGCATGTGGCGTCTTCATATGGTTGTTGAATGAGATTGATAAAGGTTTGTGGTATTTCGTAGTGTTGCAGCAGTTGCCAAATTACTTGTCGGTCAACGTTGTGGAAGACCTTCTCAAAGTGGATGAAGTTTAGTTATGGTGAGGGAGTTGACTGCCATTCTATACTCTCTCCTATGATGATGCGTAGTGTAGCGTTGCGATTTGGTCCACCCATGATTTGTACTTCCTGAATCCAGCCTGTTCTGGTCGAAGTTTTGGATCTGGCGCATCCTTTAGTCTCTCCAGGATGATGCAGTTAAATATTTTGCTTGGGGTGGACAGGAGTATGATTCCTCGCCAGTTCTTGCAAAAGCCTAGGTCTTCCTTCTTTGGGAGTTTGACAAGGTAGTTTTTCTTCAAATATGCAGGTACCTTTCCTTCCTTCCAGAACTATTCTAAGTTTTGGCTGGTTCATGATCAAAATTCTACAGGAAATTTCCATTCAATACCTAGTGTTGCAGTGTTTTAGCCAATAAAATA